AAGATCCCAAAATGCATTACAAGATGCACTATTTTCAAAACTTGAAATGTATCTTTTTCTCATGTCCCTGCATCTTGATGCTAAGATAATCAATTTGAAAATATTTGGGCACCAAAACAACCTCTTCTAGTGAAATACTTGAGTCGCGCTCTAATTTGATTGTTTAGAGCCTCGGCTCTATATAAACTTTTTCCATATATAAAAGAGGAAGATGTACGTTGCTTCTATCTTTAACCAATATTATGGACGATAAAAAGTTAAAAAATGATAGTGGGTTTCAAAAACTATGTAGTTTGTACAATATGAGCACAAGTATCCCTATTTAACATGTTACCTTTGTTTAAAAAAAATAAATTAAAAAAAAAAAACATACCCTGCTATCTGGGGTCCTACGAACCATGGTCGCCAGCTCTCCAACTCTGTATAATTCAACCTTCTTATCCATTCCAAGGTTCCAATATATGGAGCAGTCATGTCATGGTCCCCACTAGAACAACAAATGTGAAATGGTTTTTTATTACAATTCCAATCAAGTATTTCCACAACAAAAAGAAAAGGAGATAACATGAAAGTTAATGTGCTTTTGCTGGAGGGTCTAGGACACTAATGAATTAGAGCACCTTTTGAAAGAATAAATTTTTGCTTAAGAACAATGATTTCATGCAACAGTTGTGTCACACTTCAAGAAAACCATGTTTTTGGTATTTATATGACTCCAAATTTTGCACACACATTCCCTTCATCCTCATAATCAATCTTATGGGCAAAAAAATTCAATTTGCACCCTAGATATGGTAAAAATTACTACCCTCCAACAATGAATCTAGACCGTCCATTGGGTGAATTTCAAGATCAAGGCCTTGACAAATTCAAAATCACTTTTTTCTTTTTAAGAATTGTTAATCTAATGATTATAACACTATATCAAAATTTTAGGAATAAAAAACTCCTTTTGAGGCCTATATCTAACCTTCTTACTAAAATGAATGCCTTATATTAATTGAGCTATAAGAACAGTTTTTAGGGCGTTTTTTTCAAAATTTTCTTTTTTGTGATTATTCTTTAGAATGAAAAGAACAGACATCTAAAAAATTGCGTCAAACAAATATCTTTAACATGGTTTTTTAATGTGATTGCATTATATTATGATACAACCGTTGCATGAAATCATTACTCTTCGCTTAGAGCAAATATGCATTTAGGGAGATCTAAAGATTAAATCGATGATCACTTCAAGACTTGTCATCCTTATCTTTATGGGTTTGTTGTAGCTTACACATTTGGGCTTCAAGTCATGGTTGTACTGAAGAATTAATGATGAATTTTATTTCCTAAGTGTGTTAGGTTTATGTTACTCCATTTTGAGTCCTAGAAACCCAAGAGTAGTGAACATTTCAATCTTCCCCGAAAATCAACCTTTTAGAACGATGTGTACTTGAAATATTAGAAAGTTGAGAGTCATTATAGTTTTATTAAGTTGTCTCTTTGCCTGTTTTACAAGTTAATCTCCTCACTTTGTTTAAACTTTTGGAAAGATGCTTTACATTTTTTGTGGCAGTCTAGTTCTTCTAACATTACAAAAGAACTTTTTACCTATCACAAAAGAAGCTACACGATTAGGGAATTTAGAAATTGAAGATAGCTTGGGTTTTGCTCTGTAAGAAAGAAATATGGATCAAACCTCAACGAATACCTTAGTAATGGCTTATTCAATTAAGTTTACTAGTCCTTAGGCCTTTATGTATGATTCTACAACTCATGCCTAGGTACCGGAGAGTCTCAAGCAAATGCGATCCATATGTCGGCTTTCTACATTATTACAACTGCCATCCATCTAACCAAACCCCATATCATTTAGATTGTAGTTTAAACACTAATTTGCAAATTCAACCACTCATAATACTCTTATCTAGGTAGATGTGGAAAAATCTGGGAATGTCAACCTTCATATAAACCCTTCATATAAACCCTTCAACTCAAACCCTAAACTTTACCTTAACTTCTCTAAATCTTGTCCTCAGAGACATAGCCTAGGTCTAATCCCTTTATGCCTCTTATTATCCACTTCTATTCCTTATAGAGGATCTTGATAAATCCACTGCCTAGTATCCTAAATCTTAACCTAATTAGAACTTCAAAACTTTTTTCTGAGTTATCTTAACATGTTGCACCCATGTAAAAGCCAAACCCTATTAGTCATTATGTACTCTTGCTACATAGTAAGTTGTTTGTTGAAACTTACCTTGAATTCAACCATGTCAACTGAATGAGCCATGCACTAGGGCACTCACTTCTTGGAAAACCAAATTGATGAGTGTTTATTGTAACTAATGGATTGAAAGAATACCATGTAAGAAATTCTTGAGGTATTGGTCAAAAGAAGAGTTCATATATGTAGTTTGACTAAATAGCGATGGGAACAGAGGAAAGCAACAAGAATGAAGGTAAGAAGCACTCCAATAATTCATCTTTTATGGAAGGTAATATTTCAAGTGTCCAACCTTAAAGAGTTGATGCCATTCCTTAGACGGATACCACTAACATTCATAAGGTGGAAAATAAAAAGGTTTGTAAAGGATGACTAAAGCCTCAGAGCACAAAACCATTTGTCATGCTCAAGAGTATCTGTTAAAAATCCATTTATTACTATAGTTTTTTAAAGTAGGAGTTTGGATTGCCAGTTATTAATTTAGCAAGTGATCTCATTTATTAACGACGTAGTTGACACTGAATTTGTAGTAGAAGCAATTTCCAAGATCATGAAAATAAGTAAACCTTTACCCCATAAAGAAATTGAGGATGTAATTTCCTTAGTGAAGAAAACCTTAAATCACAAGATGAGGATAATATAATAGAAAAATTAAGTGAATTAGATATTATTGCTTCAACTCCTTTATCAAAATAGTAGATCCTTTCTCAAGACATTTTCAAAATAGTAGGCATATTTATAAATGAGGTACTCTGTAAAGTGGCAAGTGCAACAAAGAATAGCACTTGAGGAGAACTGCTTCATGCCAGAAGCCATTTAAGATTATTCCAAAATTCATAAACAAAAAATTCAAGAGTGATGTAAATCACTTTTTGTAAACATAAGTTTCGCTTGAAAGTATGTTCAATTGATACAAAACTTTATATATCTTGTGTAATTCACATGTTTAAAGCTTCAAATCCGCATATTCATGTTGAAAGCCTTCTGGAAACGTCATTGACAAATTTTATTTTCGAGTGCAAAAAACCACATATCAAGGAACTTAAAATTTCAGGAAGTTGATTATTTCTTTGAATGACCAGTTAATCTAGTTTCCAATGTTTGTGTAGGAGTTAAGAAAGGTTATTTTCATGTTTTGTAAGAGTCTACTTCTTTAACTATAAAGTAATTAGTTTCCAATGTTTGTGTAGGAGTTAAGAAAGGTTCTTTTCATGTTTTGTAAGAGTCTACTTCCTTAAACTATAAAGTAATTGATTACCTAATTTTGAAGAATCTGGAAAATTAAGAAGTTTTACAAAGTAGAGATATCTTACGTTCAAATCTTAGTTTAAAAATTAGCATGTTCAAACAATTTGAGTAATAAAATTTACGTTTACAATTGTGATGGGAATAAGAAATTTCTCAACTGTTTTTGCAAAAGTAGTGATTGTACAACTTTTGCCTCATATAAGAGAAGGTCCTCCAAAGATTAGGGCCCCTCTTCATCTTTCGATGGGAGATTCCCCAAAGTTGTAACATGTGCATTGTAGGTTCTCCCTTCTCCTGTAATCTTGAGCCCCCTTTCGTTCTCCTCTTGTGATGCACATTCCAATATATGATGTTCCAAGACCAAGTTCGTTTTCAACTCAAGCCATAGCATAAATCTTACTTTAATCCATCTGAACATTTACTTTACCTCATCCTAACCCTTTCTATACATCCAACCTCTATAGCCTTTAAGCTTAAGATTAAACCATATATTTATCCTAATTAAATCATGGAACCTATTCCACCGTCCTCTTATTTTGGTGGACCAGCTAAAATCTTGCATCTTCAACCTCCGTTAAATTTTTTAACTCCAACCTTAAACTTTAATTTAACCTTATCAAAACCTTCCCCATAGACTTGGCCTAAATTTCATGTTGAAAAGGCCTGGGATAAAGTAGATTGGGATGTTTTACAAGAAATTAGGTGGCCTAGGGGGGCTAGACAAAAAATGAAGGAGTTGGATTAGAGGTTGTGTTGTGAGTAATCGTTTTTCAGTGCTCATCAATGGTAGTCCCTAAGATTCGTTTAGAGCTACAACGAGATCTTGTGTGCCCCTTTTTTATTTGCGTTAGTAGGGGAAGCTATGAGTCCTATGTTAAGGAAGGTAGAAGAAGAGGGTTTCATTACATATCTTAAAGTTTCAACTGCTGTTCCAAGCATTTCTTACCTTCAATATGCCGATGCTACATAGGATTTTTTATGGTGTAGACGTAAATCATATTTTTTTTATTTTTTTAAAGAAGTTTCTTGAGATACTATGAAGTTGGTTTGAGACTCAAAGCAAATTTTGAGAAAACTAACCTGGTTGGCATTGCTTTTGAAGTGTTTGGTAGCCTAGCTACTCTTTTTGGCTATAAAATGGAACAATTTCCCATAAATTACTTTGGTTTTCGTATGTGCATGCCTAATGGAGTGGTCCACTAGTTGGGGAGGCTAATGAAAGCATTTCTTTAGGGTAGTAGCCAAAATAAGAGAAGTGAGTTGGAAGAAGGTTTATACTCCTTAAGGATGGGGGTTTGGGAATTGGGAAATTAAAAGTTATGAATAAACATATATTTACTAAGTGGTGGTGAGGAGTACTCTAGAAAAAGATCATTTATGGAGACAGATACTGGTGGCTAAGTATGGCTTGGATAGTATTCATGGTTGGTTGGGATGGTAAGAAGTGGTAGGGCATGTTCATCTATATGAAAAAGAATTCTTCATTATAAGCCCATTTTAGAGCGGAATGTGAGGTTTGCCATTGGAAATGGAGTAATTTTTTTATTTTGGCATCATACATGGCAAGGTAGAATACTTCTGTGAATTTTACCTCGCCATCAGAATGTGTGGTTCCAACTTTTTCTAGTTGCAAGTGCCCTAGACTCTGAAATCTTGTGGTTCCAAGTTTTATACTTCTGTGAGAAGTTGAATGCCTCCTTTACACATGTTTACCATGAGTTAAATGGGGAGGCAGATGATCTTGCTAAGCAAGGTACACATCTAAAATAGTGATCAGGTGGTTCGTGAGTTACCATGAGTTTATACTTCATATTTTGTTTGGTGTAATTTGCTGCTTGTTGATAAAATTAAAAAACATTTTTCAAAGACAATAGGGGGGAGGGGGACTTAAAGGATAGATAAGGTGGGCCTCCAAAGAATAAACAATGGTTAAATTTCAATGCCTTGGAAGATACAAATTGTTGAACAACACCCATTTATCACCTTTTGCTTTGGAACCCCTCCCATCAACCATTTAGGCAAACACTTCCTAGTATGGCTCTAACTGATCATTTACTAAAAGAACACAAATGATATATGTAAAATTAAATGAGAAAATAGGCAGACAAATGAATAACCTGTAAATAAAGGCTCGATAACCTTTCAATGTGAGATTTAAGTGATGTTGGATCAAGCTTATCTTTTCATATCGATATTTCAGCTCATCGGTGCACCTTTTCCACCTTCCAGCTACTTCTACCTGTCAACACCATCCAAAGTTGTTAACTGAGCCAAAGGAACATCTTGCAAATACTCTTATGGGAATCTATGCTATGAGGCTTTTTACTGTTTGCAGAAGGTCGTCATCTTTTCTAACACTTAGCCATATAATTCAAAAGTTTGACACGAGTTACGAAGCTCAAAAGAATGTGAAACACATCATCATCACAAAAACATCATCATCGTAACAAAAACAAAAATTCATAGTATATATTTTATCATAAAAAACTTTGGAAAAAATTTATGTGAGTCAGTAGATGCAAGAGCCCACTGACCCACAAACGTCAATCTTTAAGAAGGACATTGCGTAAAGTGCACTTGCCATAAGTAGCATATGGAAGGTAACAAAAAAAACAAATATTGAAGAAAGAACATTTCAAATTTTATTTAATTTTTTAATATTCATAAACATCTTGGCCTGGAAATCTGAATAAAAAATCCATCCCTAAAAATTTGAAGAAAAAATCCATCGTTAAGATGGAATTTAGAGAGGGAATGCATGCGTACATATGAATCGGCTTACTCATAGAACCATAAAAAGAAATGTTCTCAAAATTATTCGAACTTAAAAGAAATAGTGGATAGGAAATCTAGTCTCGTACAAATTGGCATGACATATCTTGAGAAGACAATCAATAATCATTAGGATTTGTTTTTCAGATATGATTCACCAAAAACAATTGAACAAGGCATGTTAAAAGCCATCCAAATCAATTAATTTTTAATGTCTAGTCCATCTGTCGTGGATAGCATGATATGGAGCATAAAGTTTAAAAAAAATATTACGAAATAATTTGTTTTTCATCTTTCTTCTTCTTCATAATATGGTGGTAGGAATCAAACTGGAGATGTAGATTTAGCATTGTTAATACAATTACTAACCATTAAGCTCAATTTTTTTTTTTCCAAAAGTCCATGGAAAAAAAATAATAGAGTTGAATTCCTTTAATATTGAATGTTGGTTTTAATAGTCCCTCTTGGATGATTTTGGCATGGAGAAATCCTCAAACTTTCTAGGAATATAGTTGACATAAGTAGTTCCACAAAGCAAAAAATATTTATAAAGAGTCAACTTTATCGTATACAAAGCAAAAACTCTCAAGCCAAATTTAGAGTTTCACCTTGCTTTGATCGTTGAAGGTTGATACCTCATGTAAAGTGCACCTTCTACGACATTATTTTCTAGGCCTGCAAATAGTGAATTTAAAATTTTCTTTAATTGTTTGAAATTGTTTTCTAGGTTGAATAAATACTCTCCAAGATTGGGGTTCTAAAAAAGCTCCTCGACTAGGCTTCTGGGCTAGGTTTTACTAAGAGAACAAATAGAAAATCTACTCCTACTAGTCTAAGTAGGGTGAAGACTATAACTTTATCTTACCCCGTTCCAAGCCTGGGTGAAGGAGGTTTGTGTTAAGTAGGCAGCCAACGTAAAACTTTGCCAAAACATTATATTTATCTTGTTCCAACTGCAAGGCCAAGCGGTCGTTGCATGTATCTTGGACGGTTCAAAGATTAGCACATAGACAATCTCACTAAGAATGAATAAAGTTCAAAGTTGGAAGCACAACCCTATGAAAGAAACTTGCCTAATCCTCATTATACCACATATCATGAATCTTACATTATTGGATTTTAGTAGAAACCATTAGCATGGACCGAAATTCGTATGGATTTTTTTTTTTTCCTTTTTTCTTCATCTTCGAAAACTTCTACTAACAAGTAATTCTTTGGGTCCAATATTCTATGGGTGGTGTCAGCAAGACTGAAAACTACAACATGGTAACTAGGTATGAGGGTGCTAACCACCACGACCCACCCCCTTTCCTAATATCACAAGCTGTTGTTATCCAAGTGACTCTCATAATTGTCTTCCAGCTAAAACAAAGGTCCAAATGCTCTTTATCCATGGTTCGGATGCTCCACATTTGATAATCAAGTGTTGCACTAGGAGCTTTTTGGAAGCTCCAAATCAGTCCTTAATGGCGAGAACGATTTCGGAGTGGAGAAGATTAATTTTGAAAGCCTTTTGAGGTTCCTTACCCAATCAACTGACTCTTGTGGCCCAAACACCTACCATGGGATTCAATTTTCTTTTCTTTTTTTTGAAATTTTGCATAAAACTACTAAATCACTAAAAAATGAAATTCAAAAGACAGAACAAAATCAATTTTGAGTTTCAAAACTAGAGGTGGCTTTTCAAACCATATATAACATGTGTTCTTAGATTTTCTTTTTCTAGAAATTGATCCCAGAATGACCAAGATCCACAAATTTGGGGGTTCTAAAAACATCCCCCGAAGCATACTTTTGCTCAAAGGACTACGTGTACTATTTTGAAAATTTGGTGAGTTTGAATTGAGTCACCTCAATCAGAACTAGCACCCAGCAATTCCAGATGACCAAGACCTGGGTTGCCGAAGTCTTTATTGAGTTTATTGTAGTCTGGTACAATCTAAGAATGGGCTTAAGACTGGTTGGTCAGGTGGTAGGGCACCACAACATGATATTTTAAGTTCCATACTTACCATGGGTAGATATTTTGAGTTCCATTTCTACCATGGGTAAAGAACCTAATCCCTAGTTGACTTAACTGATCCAAAGCTCGTTCCTGGTTTTAAAACATTGGTTAGTGTGAAAACAGTGCACACAAATTTTTTCCCTATGTTTGTGTAGAAGAAAGCTACAAATAGCTCTATACTCGTGCAAGAAAACAAATTATTTCCCACCTATTCGATCTCCATCAGATGGTTTGTAGTGCATGATGCTAGATGAAGTTTATGTTTTGATCTAGTATGGCTGAGGGCATGCGTATTCTCAGCCTCAAGCACATGCAAAAAAATACAAAAAATAAATCTACATAAATAAAATCAGAAAATACACCTCCAAAATTGCAGGAGTATTTTGACCATTTTATGTTTTGAATAAATATTTTTAAAAAAAATTTCATATTCACTTTAAAATGATCTCAAATGTCCCAAATTTAAAATAAATAAAATACCCCTCAAAAAATGCTTTATAAATTTTATGCCAATATGACTTGTAAAAAAATTAAAATAAAATTCATTAACTAACAAACAATCTCAAATATCAGGAAGAGATCGCACGGTCGTGATGTAGACCATTTTTATCATACAAATAAAATCTGGAGCACAAACACACACGTAGACAAACAGAGACATGGAGGGATAATGTTGCATTATACAATATGGGAAAGGTTTCTATACTTCCCCTACAGCATAGAAGATCTATGCTTCCCCTACCATCCAGCCGTCCAATTTTGATCAAGAGATCCACTCACCGTTTGATCTTAGATTTGACATCTTAAAGCATTTTATTTTTAGTTTTTTTATATAAATTGTACGAATATGAAATTTAGTACGTGTCATCTTCTCCTTGGGGTGCACCTATAAAAAATATTAAAAATAATTTTTCGATAAAATATAATGACCAAAATACCACTTGAAACTTTAAAAGGTATTTTGGTCATTTTATTTTACTGGAAATATTTGTTTTTATATTTTTGGCTAATAGAGGATTGGACGTCCAAAATTTGGTGTCAAAATAGTTTATAGAAAAAAAATTAAAAATAAATTAGTGTAGAGACATGACATTGTGATTGGGGCAAGTATATTTGGTGAAAAAATAGTTCAAAATGGACAGTTGGATAAGGGGAAGTATATAAGTTTTATGCTGTAGGGGAAGCATAGAAAGCTTGCCCATATAACATTGTGCAAGTTTTCCTACGCCAATTTTGGTGTTAGATGTCACATTTTAGGGAAATTTTCTAGCCTAAACATCCTCTTGACTCTAGCTAATGTCCCCATGGTAAAAATTTTGGGAGAAACAGAAAAAAATAAAACCTAAAAGTTTAGAAGAGAGTGAAAATGATGCATTGCTATTCGTCTGAGTTGGTGCATGGTAGTTGAACTGTTATACTTGCTCAAAATCTTTACTTATTTTGAAAATTGATCTAGTATTTTTTAGGAACATAATAACAAAAGGGAAAAAGTTTATGTAGAGCCAAGGCTCTAAACAATAAAATTAAAGTGACCTTAAAAATTTTATTAGAAGAGCTTATTTTGATGCCCAAATATCCTCAAATTGATCATCTCGACATCAATTGATCATCCTCAAATTGATCATCTCAAATCAATGCAATATATTATTTTTTGTTTTTCATTAATGCTTGTTTCAGCTTTATTAAGTTTATTAGCATATGGATTTGACTTATAGGAAGCATTATATGTATTTGTTTTAAATAAATACTAGGATTTTATGGTTTGTGTGTTCCTTTATTTCCTTTAACAATTCAATTTCAATAAACCATAGAGTATAGAAAACATTTACACTTTTGACAGATGTTAGTTTTGTTCCTAGTGTTTTTCTTAAAAAAATATAGTTTACTATATTATTATGATATTTCATTTTTATAGTTTTTACTTTTTAAGTATTTTTCCTATTTTTTTAATTTTTAAATTATGTAACCAATTCGACCGTTTAACTAGTCTGGTGGGACCTGTGCCCTCATCAATTTGGTCACTGCCTCGTTCCTGACAACATTGATTCAAACAACTAATTTTTGGGTCCATATAGAAACCATTTCATGGAGACCGCTATTCCACCAATCTTGGTGGAATATTGATTTCCTTATTTTGCTTCCAAAACGTGGAAATACATATCTATGGAGAGACCACCCTAGGAGTCCAAACATGCCTTAATAGGTCTTTTCAGTCCGAGCACAACAAAGTGGAAATTGCTGAGCACAACAAAAATTATATAGGAATTAACAAAGGAAAAGAAAAACGAAACACATTTACTCCCAAAAAACTGCAATTATTTCATGGACCAAGCTCAAAGTTCAAAAAAATTGTCTCGAACTTTATGACACATCCAAGCTATCAAATTTCACATCAAATGACTGTAAGGAATTGTGACTACCGTGTATCAAAAGTAAATTATCTCATAGTAAACAATCCATAT